GTAAATTGATCTCCAACCCTCACATAATTCAGACTCAGTGGAAAGCGCAGAACCCCTGAGTGGTGACGAGGGTTGGAAAGTGTGCAGACAACTTTCCACGTCACCGAGAAAGCCTGGTGATGGTCCTGGGAAGGGTGGTGTATTCAGTTCTGCAGACTTTAAAACTGAAGGTCTGACCTCTTGCTACCTGGATTAGATGCTGGCCTGGCTGTGTGGCTACCAAGTCTAGGTGGCCCAGGGACCTGTGTGGTGATGTTGGCTCTCCGGGCACTGCTACCTTCCTCGGTAACCTGGCAGGTGCAGCCTCAACAACTAAACCCATGGACACCCTAGGATGATAGACTACCTGCCCATCCCCATGAGGGACCTTGTCCCAAAAGGGTTTTCTTCCCTGGGTAGGACCTCACCCCACCCAATTTAGGCTGTGGATGAATCAATGAACCAGCTTCGTTTACTCCATCCCAGGGTTGGTGTTGTCTTTGGTTTTTAATTTGCTGTAGAACCAGTTCAGAATACTCAGAACTAAGATTTTTTAATGCACTACTTTTTCTATACAGAAAATGGCATAATTATTCCACCCGAGTTTATAACTTTATGGGTGTACTCACGGCGATGGACAGAGTTTAAATAACCAGTTGTATCATTTAAGATGAGGTCCAGGCACGTAGAGAAGAAAGCCCAAATAGCAGGCTTAAAGGAGAGAGGACCCTTTGCTTACATGAAAGAAACCCACAGAAGGACATCCTTGTTAGAGAGCCTGGTCCCAGGCTCCTCAGAGATCTAGGTTCTTCCTATGTGCCTGCTCCAACTTCCTTATCATATAACTTCCATTCTCTAAATTGCTTCATGGCCACAACATGGCTGCTGGAATGCCTGCTCTCACGTCTGTGCTCCAGCCAGCAGCGAGAAGAAAAACACCTCCCAGCTGACTCAGCCCCACGTGAAGAGCTTCTTTGAAAGTCCAGACCAAAGATGTGGCTTATAGCTCATTAACCACACCTGTGTGCAAGACAGGCTGGGAAATATGTTTGAAACAATATCAAAGCAAACTCCTACCTTTAACCGTACATGGTTCCGCTGGTGAGAAAGGAGGGAAGCTGCCCCCTACCTAACATGCTGTGCTCTCTCTTGGCCTCATCACAGCTGTCTGTCACCAGAGTTACCGGAGTCAGGTGGACCAGGGGACTTGGTCGGGTGTCAGTTGGTTCATATTCGTCATATCTGGGTGCCTCTGGCATCATCACTCGTGAAAACTTTCAGGGAAACAGTTTGTCTGCGTGTTCCCTGAGGACAGACCGAGGTAGTAGCATAAGGAGAGCTTTCTGGATCTTCATTTCTACTGAATACAAAAGGCAAGTAGCTCCCCACTCATGTCAGTGTGAGCGGCATTAAAGAGTTCACCTACAGCGTGGAATCAGGTTCACTGATACCAGCAGGAAGGTGCACCCAGGGAAGTCAGTCTTTTCTCTCACCTCAGGGGCACCTGTCTGCCCATTTTACAGCCAAGAAAACTGAGGTTAGCACATGTGCCCCGAAGAGCTACACTGCTTCCGTATGCCAGAGAGCCGGGCTCCTTGAGCGAGGGTGGTCAGGGTTAGAGAACCACCCTCGCTCAAGGAGCCTGGCTCTCCAAGAAAGGGCTCCACACACCAGGTCCCAGAGGCTGGCCTTGACTCCCAAGTGCTGGGTAGTGTGGAATGTCCTTTGGGAGGCAGCTCCGCAGCTGACCCCCAGCTCTGGGCTGCTGGGGCCCTCGAAGGCCTCTGGGCACCCCCGGTGAAGCTCAGGTGCCGGACTTGAAACAAAGCAAAATGGGGACTCTGTTGTAAACATCATCACTATTTAATAACGTTTGCGACAGATCTCAACATCCCCCGCTGTGTTTATTTATTTTTCTTTTTTAATTGAATTTTATTTATTTGTTTTTAGAGAGAAGGGAAGGGAGGGAGAAAGAAGAGAGAAATACCGATGCATGCCTGAGAGATACCAGTTGCCTCTCGAGCGCCCCCTATTGGAGACCTAGCTCACAACCCAGGCATGTGCCCTAGACTGGGAATCAAACCGGTGGTGAACTTTATATTTGCAGGCTGGCACGCAATCCACTGGGCCACGCCAGCCAGGGCTCCCCCCTCCATGTTTAAAAATGGAATCAGGTTGAGCTTTCGGTAGGGGAGTGGGCATATCTAACTTGAATTTTATCTTAGTCTTTTACTCGTGTTTATTTTTATTGAGTGTCCGACGAACAAACCAGGCCTCCACAGGGACTGTCTTGGAGTCAGAGAACCTGACATGGGTGGAAGCCAAGCAGCAGGCCACGGCAGAGCAACTGTCGACCAGGGAGGCTTCCACGGGCCAGAGAGGGTCCAGGGGAACTTGCTGACTTCCCAGAAGAGAAGCCTGCTGGGAGGAATCAGCCTGCATCTGCGGGAAGAGCCAGAAAATAAGGAACTGGCGTGTCCCGAGCTCTTTACAGTTTATAAAGCCCTCTGCACCATTTTCCCGCTTCAGCTTCCCCCAATCCTGTCACGTGGCAAGGAGATTATTTTACAGAAAAAGAAACGAAAGCTCAGCGGGATGAAGTATCTGACCAAAGAGGCACCACCAGAACCAGGTCAGGGATGCGGCCTATGGCACTTGGGATGTTGGGACAGACCCCTGCCTGCCAGCCAGACACCTGGCGGCCCACTGTGGGGGGAAATGGTGCTCCCTTCTCCCCCCACCCCTGTGGCCAGCACCGCTGGGTGGAGGAGCATGAGAGGCACAGCCTCTACTATCATTTTGCACCTGTGCCTTCCCTGTGGCCCGTGCTCCCCGGGTGACACGGGGCTGCAGGACACAGGTGCAGAGGAAGATGAGAGAGCCCCTCTGCCCCGCCTGGTATCAGCCACCCCCACACAGGTCTGCCCAGGGCTTCCTCCACTGTAGGTGATGTCTGGGGCAGGCACCCACATGCCTCCGCTTACTCACCTGGAAAATGGGGAGAAGAGCCGCTTGCCTCCCTCCCACTGAGTGGCAAAGCAGGGGAGCCAAGGTAGCCTGCAGGTCTGGACAAGTCTGGAGCCAGGTCCGTCCTCCTGACCTGTGCTCTGGCAGCCTCTGGCTGTGGCCGAATGGCTGGCTGCAGCCCCCGGCTAGGTTCCCAGGATAACGCGTGTGGGGGCTGCTGGACGCAGCCTGTATCCCTGCAGCGGGTCCTCAGGGCAGGACAGGTGCTGTGGGTCGTGGTGGCGCCTGGGAGGCAGCCTGCATTCCTGACCTCAGGGTGAGCAAGTGGCAGGGCGCCGTCCACCTGGGAGTAACCAGGCTCCGCATTCACCCTAAGGGAGCAGAGCTCCGAGCCCTGGCCACGTCTCCTCCTATCTATCCAGAAGTTATTTCATTAACCCAGTGTCCTCTACACATTTTCAGGGTTGTTTTTTTTTTTTTAAGCTCTTGCTCCAGTGAATTAAGTTCACCCATCCAGAATCCCAAAGAAACTCTTGCACTGGGGTTCATTTGATGTCTGGTCATGCTGGGCGCACCCCAGGCATGCAGGCTCAGCATTCACCCACGTGTTTCCGGGACACCTGAGTGGGGACCATGGGGCCGGCCAGGCAGGACAGCAAGCCCAGGGAGTGGCAGGGGCAGCTCAGAGAGAGACGGCCTTGGTCTTGGACTCATCACTGTTGGAGAAGCCAGCATCCAGGACAGATTCACAGATGTCCATCAGCCCTACTCCATTCTGGGGACCCACTGTCCTCATCCCATGAGAACCTGTGTGTTCTAACTCGTGAGAGCATAGGTCCCTTTCAGCCCCCAGAGGGCGGGGGGGGGGCTGAAGAGGGGGATTGCAAACGCTTTTAGGTACAGCAAGGGAGGAGAGGGGGACAGAGATGAACCCCAAAACCCCCAAAACAAGCAGGAGGAGCCTCAGACAGTAAGGAGCACCCCGCCCCTTGAGATCACCCACAGGAGGAAAGGGACTGAGGAGCTGAGCCCATCTGGGGATTAAACCACAGCTTTTGTCCCCAGCCCAAGCCCGGCATCGTTGTTCCAGGGGTGACAAGGATGAGAAGCTGCTTCCGGGTCTCAGATGGGACCTGGGGCAAGTCCATGTCATTAGCAGAACTTTTCTGACAGGGCACGACAAGAGGGGCCAGCGGAGTCTCTGCTTCTCCAGAGAGTTACGGGCTTCCCACTCTTAAACACTGGGAAGATGCCATGTACTTTCTCTTTTTTCATTTTTTTTTAAACTGCAGGATATGAGTAATTAGTGCATTTTCCAAATCAAAATCATTACATCCCAGGGCCCTGGGCTGAAGGGCGATGTGGTACCCTGAAGGCCAGAGGCCTAGCTGCTGGGACTCCCGAGCGCTGCGCAGAAAGCGCAGTTTTCCTTCGTCTTTTGCCCCTTTGCGCGTGAAGTTCCAGGGCGGAGGGAAAATTTTGGTTCCAGCTCGGGCCGAATAGGGCCGAGCAGGCGTCTATTTGGGACCCCCAGCAGGAGAGCCAGACTCTAGGCCAAGGCGCAATGACGCGACCGCCCCACGGGGCGTGTGGGCTCGGAACACTGCGAGGGCCCTCAAGCAGGCAGCAGGCGGGCGCACCGTTGTGGGCGCGCCACGCACCGGCCCAGGTTGAGCGAGTGCACAGAACTGTGGGGCACAGGGAGGCAGCAGGTGCGGAGCTAGGAATCTCCCGACTTCGGGGAGACAGCCGGAAGCTGCGGTCCGCGTGTCTCCCCAGCCTCTACACCTTGCTGCGACCCACTGCCCGCACCCTGGGACCTGCGGACCGCGGCACTTCGAGGAGCTCCTCCAGGGCGGGGAGAGAGTTGCGCAGCGGCGGCCCGGCTCTGGCAGGGACGGCGGGAGGGGTGGGGTGAGGCGGGCCAGCCCCCTCCCCTCCCGCTGGCCCTCCCTTTTCCCCATCCTGCAGCCAATTAAACGGCCCCCTCCAGCGGGAGGCGTGGGGTTCTGCATAAAGCCGCAAGGAGCTGTCACCCTTCGAGCAGGCTGCGCACCACTCAGGACCGAGCGGGTCGAGAGCGTGGAGGAGCAATGGCTACTAACAACGGAGCCGTGGAGAACGGGCAGCCAGACAAGAAGCCGCCTGGCCTGCCGTGCCCCATCAGAAACCTGGAGGTCAAGTTCACTAAGGTGAGATGGCTCCCATCCCGCCCGACGGCAGCCTGGCTGCGTGGAGGGCTTCCCAGCCCGGGATGAGCGGACCAGGGGCCGGCAGGCCGGGAGCCCGGGTGCTCCATTCAGAGGGTGTCGGGCGCTGTGGGCGGCGCGCTCTCAGCTGACTTCGCCGGGCGCTCCGGCGCTCCGGACCTCCGCCGTTCCACTAGGCTGGGCCCTCCGGAAGCCGAGTTCCGCGCAGCGCCTCCCAGGCGGGAAGCCTGCATCCCGCGCGTGTGTCCACCGCGCACCCATGGGGGACTCCGTGATCCCCACCCCCGGACGGGCTCTCAGGCTGCGAAGCTCAGTACTTTCAGCCTTAAAGCCTGGCAGGAAAGCAAAGGCCCCCGCGCGCGCAACCCCGACGGCCCTGGCCCGCTTTGCAGAGGAGCAGAGGCGCGGGCCTCAGGCACTGCGCTCCCCGCAGACCCTGCAGGCTGCAGGGTTTCCAGGGCTGAAAGGGTCGGCCTGGCCTTCCGGAGGGTAAGCGGGTGCCAGGGAATGTGAAGAGAAGGTCTGGGAGCTCTGGCTCATCAGAAAGGTGCCCGGGGTAGCCAAGGGAGAAACGTGGGGCAGCTTCCGTGCTTAGCTTGTACCCGGCTGACCAGCAGAGCGAGGGGAGGTGGGAAGGTGATTTCTGGTGAAACTGCTCTTGAGCCCGGAGGCCCTGGTTTGGACGGAAGAAATCTGGCGCCTAACAGGGCCTGGGGCGCTGCGGTGGTAGGACCTATCGTGCCACAGCGTCAGGGGACTCACCGGCTTTTTGCACTGGGAGCCCTGGAGGCTGGAGTGTAGGCAAAGCCGTGAGATCACCTGCCTGGGGGCAGAAAGGGAAGTGGTGAGGCCTGAGCGCTGCTGACCCGCAGACTAGCCGGCGCGCAGAGCGCGTCCCTAAGGCTGTTTGGAGGAGGCCTTGGGCAGGGGCCGGGTTGGTGGGCTGGGGGGGAGGGGGACCTTCAGGGGCGCAGACCCAGAGCGCGACTGGCTTCCGCGTTCCCCAACTACCTCCCCTTTTATTTTCACATTTTACCCAGTAGCCCCCAACACCAGCTGACACAGCACTTAGAAAATTCCCCCATCAATTTTACTTTCAAAAGTAGCAATTATGCCTCTCAAATAGTTTTAATCAGGCGGAGAACGTTGCAGGCCACCAAGCGTGGCCTTCAGATTCTGGTCTCTTGGCACTTAAAGTCGGCGGGGGCCTCTGATCACATGACAACGAAATTAACTGTTTTCAGAGGGCTCCGTAATCAACAGAGGCCTTTCCCCGTGAAGGCTGGAGATTATTTTCAATGTAGTTCCCTTGGCAGTGTCAGTCAGAGCGAGAATTCCAACACGAGTTTTTGCTGAGGCTCCAGCGCCTGCCGGTTGTGGTGGATGATGGTGTTTTCTTTTATTTTCGTTTTATAGGGTTTAAGAAAAAAAAGAAAAGGACGTAGAAACCAGAAATTACGTTTATGATGGTCGTTTTATGCTTTACTGTTTTTGGGGGGGTGCTACGGGAGTGATGAAGCCCCGTGTGAAAAGTTTCTCTCTTTCTCTGCCTCTCTTGATGGCCTGTGGAAAGGAGGGTCTTAGCACATTCTCGGAGGACCAGCACTGTCCATCTTGCTGGGTCCCTCCTCGTCCCAGTGGATTGGCTCTGGGTGTGTGACTGAAGCTGAGGAGTGGCCACGAGATGGAGAAAAAGGAAGAGCCAGGCCCCTTACGGGATCCCAGGCCACAAGGTGGCACGGCCTGACAAGAGGCCACGGTCCCCTCCTCTCCTGTGCAGGGCAAGGCTTCTGCTTCTCCTTTCTCCTCACTCAGGGCCCACCTCCCAAAAGACCCGCACCCCCAGCATTTGCGGTGCCCAGGCTGCCTGTGTGGTGTGGCTGAGGGTGGGCATCCGGGTGAGCCATGCCCAGGGAGCTCTGGCTGGCGAGGCTAGAGAAACAGATCTCCGGACGCGAGGCCCAGGGCAGGCCGTCGGCAGGGGTGGAGCCTGGAAGCCTGTAACGGTCTGTTATTTTTCAAACTCCATCCACCAGTCTTCCCGCTAATGGAGGACAGGCCAGAGCCAGTGTCTAAGGGTCCACGGGCCAGGCTCAGTCCAGTTTCCAGAAGGACAACCTCCGTTGGCTCTCGCACACGTTTAGTGAGAGGCTTGCTCAACAATGCTGGGGCAGGCGGGGTGCCTCTAGAACACGCCCATGCCCCCACAGGCCTCTGTGGATAGCAGCCCTGTGCACTTTCGGGGGCTCCTTCCCTTCCCTGTAAAATTTCTCCTAGTAGCAGAGCTCCTCGGGGAAGACGTTCTCGTTCATGAAAACCGGCTTCTAGGATTTGCTTTGATGAAAAGATAACACTCCCTCCGAACTCCGTTTCTGAAAACACACTCCTGGGTTGAGCCGGGGTCCAATGAGAGTCCGTGGAAGTGGCACCCGCAGAACCCACTCAGGTGGCAGCCGTTTTTGCTTCTGCCCAGTGGACCAGGCTCCTCGCCACAGCAGTGGCTTTGCCAGCTCGGTCCCGATAACACCATACCATTTTTCCAGTGAAGTCGGAATTCTGTCTACAGCCCCATGTCTTCTACCGGGGCTGCTTCATGCCCGAATCCAGGGGAAGGATTCTCTCCCGGGCTCATTAGTCTGATTTTGGGCTCAAAGCAATGCCACCAACGATACCGGTAGGCCACACTCGCCGACCCCCTTCTTCACTTGTGTTTTTGTTTTCTTTTAGTGGAGAGAAAATCAACAGTGGAAACCACTTACGACATTACTTACTAGCATAGTAGAAAGAAGAAAAAAATGTTGCTAAATTAGAAACATTGTGATGGGAAAAATATGGTTGGAGTTGAGCAGCCTGCTTCTTTTTTTTCTTTCTTTTTTTTTTTTTTTTTTTAAGTGGCTGGTTGGAAAGGCCAACAGATCAACATCATAGACAACCAAGTAATTTTGGGAGGAGGCACATGCTTGGAGATGAAGTATAACAGACATCTGACCGTTGCAATCTGTTTCGCTCCCCTTAATTTATATTGCCTTCTACCACCTTCTCATTTTCCGCCCCCCCCCCCCCCCGCCTTGGAATTGATACTCGGAAGGACCTAGAATCAGCAGTTTTCACTGACAGTCTGTATTATCTAACCCACGAAATTCCATCTTCCGACAAATGGGCCTCTCATCCTGGCTGCGCCTCCCTCCCCGTGATAACTTCGCTCTTCTCCACTTATTAATTTCTCACTGTTACCAAGTGATTGCGCCCTGGATGGCAAAAGTCGACTCTTGGATTTGGTTTCAGTTGGAAGAATAAACCTGTAATTGTAGCCTGGCCCTGTCCGCGGGCTTCCCTGGGGGCCCGGCCTCTCGTTGGAGGCGCTGAGCTTCCAGGAGCCAGCCGGGCACGTCCCACGGGCGAGGGACACTCTCAGTTCCGGATTGCACGCAGCGGGATGGTGGGGGAGGGCTCTGCCCACCTGCCCGGCCAGAACTGGCCTACCTTGTGCGTTCATCCCACCGGTCTTCTTGGACTTCCCTGCTTTTCAGGGGCAGTTATGCAGACGGTTGCCCCAGTGGCTTCTCGGAGCGGGCTTCCTTCCCTGAGAGCTTTGGGGTTTTTACAGGAAAGCCCAGGGCAGAGGACAGAACCAAGCCACTTTGGGGGGAGGGGACAGACAATGCCCCCCATCTGTCCTCACTAGGGACTCGAGTAATCCAACTGCATAAAATTCACAATAACTGAAATTTGCCCTTGCAATGACCCAAGCCTTCTTTCAAACGACCCAAAGAGAAGCAAAGATACGCTTATGGGTGGAGAATGGAATCTGATAAGTGGGTTCTGCACGTAGAAATGACTGACAGCATTTTATTTGGTGGAAATGCTTCTTGAGCATCTCAGCCATGTTCATGACCGAGGACTTCCTGATGCCATGCTGGGCTGTGGCGACGAGGCTGTCCCAAGCTGCCCCAGCCAGAGACCATCTGTCCCTCCCTGGGTAGACAGGTTCTCATGCTGGTGTGTGGTGTATTATCTATTACCTCTGTGCCTAGTTCTCTTTCAAAAGCCCTCTGTGTTGCAACCCGCCACGCAGGTATGTGCCCTGACCAGGAATCGAACTGGTGACCTTCTGGTTTACAAGACGATGCTCCCACCAACTGAGCCACACTGGCCACAGGTCTAACGTGATGTTTTTCTTAAAGCCATTAGATCTCGGAGTAAACAAAGAGTAAATAGCACATACATCACAGTGTATGGACGTTGTGAATTCTTTTTAGTTTGCTTACTTTTTAACAGTCTTCTTCTTGGCTTAGTTCTACATAACTCAGGCTCCAAACTAAGCGATTTTTGCGGGTTAATTCTTCAGTTTTAAGAAGAATTCTCTTTGCATACAGACGTTTATCTGCTACGTCTGTTCGTATAACCAGAACACTTCCTAACCTTGATATTTATCTTTGTATTCCAACACTGGCTTTTATTAAGCCCAACCTGCAAATAGGCAGTTTTGAAGGGAACGGGGGAGGGGTGCTGGTGGGCATCCGTAGGGACTACAGGGTTACAGCGAGGTTGTTGTGTAAACCAGCTCCTCGGCAGTCGGGCGGGCCGAGGGCCAGGGGGGCTGCAGCCATCAGAGAGAGTGTTCACTGCCCACCCGGCCTGCAGGGGATGGCTTAGCACTTCATGCATACGAGCATGTTTAATCTTTCCCCAAACTGGAGGAGAGTATGGCATTTAACTTACACCCTTAGTTAACTATGCAATGCTGCTATTCCTCTGTGAATCCATGCTGTTAAAAAGAAAGAGAGACCCGGCTGGCATAGCTCAGTGGGTTGAGCACGGGCCTGTGAAGCAAAGGGTCACCGGTTCGATTCCCAGTCAGGGCACATGCCTGGGTTGCAGGCCAGTTCCCCAGTAGGGGATGCATGAGAGGCAACCACACATGGATGTTTCTCTCCCACCCTTTCTCCTCCCCTTCCTCTCTCTCTAAAAATAAAGTATTTTAAAAAGAGAGACTATTTTAGGAAAAAATCTGAATATTTTCGGTTTTATTGTGACAAAAAGTAATCCTCTGAGCATGGATGAAAAGTCAAGAGACTTGTATTCTAGGCCTGAGTGTGCCCCCAGTCCGGCAGGGGACTCTGTCCCCCTCCCGGTCCCAACGGGAGAGCGGCAGGTGGGCGGGGCGGCTGTGCAGGTGGGCGGGGCAGGTGGGCAGAGGCGGGAAGGACCAGGCGGCCCTGAAGCTCCTCCGCATCCTGGAGCGGTGCGCTTTCGATCTGAGCCTAATGCACTGCAACTTCCTTTCTCGGTTAGATATTCATCAACAACGAGTGGCATGAGTCCAAGAGTGGAAAGAAGTTTGCCACATACAACCCTTCGACTCTAGAGCAAATATGCGAAGTGGAGGAAGGCGACAAGGTAGGTGCCCCCCACCCAGCCCCTAGCAATCTAGTTTCAGGGAAGGAAAGCATGGGCGAGTGAGTCGGCTCCGCTGTGACTGGGCAGCCCGGATTGAGATCCGTTAGGGACAACCGGCTGCAGAGATTCTCTTTTGATGGATGTCTCCCCGTGGAGGAGGGCAGCCTCCGCAATCCTCCTCACGGGTCTCAAGGAAAGGTTCTTATCAATTATTTGGACGTGGAGGCATTAAAGAACCTTCCCAGAAAGTGTTTTTGGCTGGTGTGTTTTACCAAACGCAGCTTGAAGGAAAAGGATTTTCCCACCGGGCCACATAGGGGTGATGGCATTGTGTGATGGCCAGTTTTCTTTTCCACCAGCATGTAAATGATCATGTGATATATTATAATAAGCTTATTATACTTCAAGCCATTATGTATATATCAGTACATAATATAACACACATGGTGTGTATGATAAGCTACATTATATAGGTTACATATAACACTATAGAAAATGTAAAGCTAAGGGACTTCTAAATGTGTGCTTGATACATTTCTCTCTTTTTTTAGATTTTATTTATTTATTTTTAGAGAGGAGAAGGGAGGGAGAAAGAGAGAGAGAGAAACATCCATGTGTGGTTGCCTCTCATGTGCCCCCTACTGGAGATCTGGCCCCACAACCCAGGCATGTGCCTTGACTGGGAATCAAACCGGTGACCCTTTGGTTCGCAGGCCAGTGCTCAATCCACTGAGTCACACCAGCCAGGGCAGAATGTGTCCTTGATACATTTCAAAGCCATAAAGTATCTTATATCTTTTTTAAAACAAGTGCCCCTGGGGAAAGGTTGAAGGTGAATTTTTTCGGAGGAGAGAAGGGAAATGTAAACCTCCTCTCACCCCCCAGAGTGCTCACCTGACATCCCTAACTCCTGTATGGGTGATATTGCACGTGGAGGGGGGGAATGACCCACCTGGAAAATGGCCTTGAATTTGAGGCCCCGCCATAGCTTTGTGACCAACGTGCGATGCCCGGCGGTTCCACCAGTACGGACCCTCCAACACGCAGCTCCACAGGCAAAGCATTGTTCACAAAGATGCTGAGGCCAAGGAGCACGTATGGAGATATGGGGGGGGGCATGATGCTTAGTAAGGTCCCCAGTATTGGGGGGAGAAGGAGACCCCTGCCCTGGGCTCCAAGTCCTAATATCTATCTCCCTTGTCCAAGCTTGCACTCACCTGGAAGCACACTTTGGAGCCATGGAATGTTGGTGGGGTGTCCCTCTCGACTGAATCAGGTGCCCACTGCCGAGACATCTCCCTAGGGGGCTCAGAGGGGCCTGGGGGATGAGCCACGGCCCACCAGCAAGCAGAGCCTCGAACCCCATTTCCCGGAAAATAACGAGAGACATTACTCTAAACACCTTTCATTTCTTTCCTTCCAAGTAGAAGGCGCTCCTGGTAGTAGAAGTCATTCTCCTATCAGTGTTCAGAAGGTCCAGTTCTTTGTCTATAAATTGTTGAAAAAAGTCCCCAATTCTCCCTGTCTGGGGACTTTTCCGAGGTGACTGGTTCCGAGACCCAGAGAGCCCCCCGTCTGTCGGAACAGAGGCCTCCGCCAGAACAAAATGCCGCAACACTCACACCCCCCACCCCGCCGTCCGTGACCAGTGGGAGAGCGTGTGCCCCAATGGGCCTAGCAAGTGGAAAATCTTTTCCTGCCTGGGTTACCAAGAAAAATACCTCATTAGGATCGGTGGTTTTATAAACTATTTTAAAACACTTTACAATCCAAAGGAAAGTTAATAGTTGGCCATGGTAAAAAAAAAAATAAAACTTAAAGAAGACTGAAGATGGAAGGAGGGAGAAATAAGGCAGCCCCCAGCCGCTGCCGCCCACCCCCTCCTTCCGGCCCTGCGGAGGCAGGTCTCTGCTAGTCCCTGTAGCTGCCCCACATTGCTCGCATCGCAAGGTGACGCGCTCTCTCTTGTTTCGGCCACTCAGCCCGACGTGGACAAGGCCGTGGAGGCCGCACACACCGCCTTCCAGAGGGGCTCACCGTGGCGCCAGCTGGACGCCCTGAGCCGGGGCCGGCTGCTGCACCAGCTGGCCGACCTTGTGGAGAGGGACCGCGTGATCCTGGCTGTGAGTACACGCACGGGAGGGACAGGCGAGGGACAAGCCAGCCTCAGCGAGGGTCCCGTCCCCTGCGGGGCACAGGAGAAAAGACCCAAGGCGCTGGTTTTGGGTGACTGGATTTGTTCGGTCTTTGGGGTGTAGTGCCCTGGAAGAGGCAGGTGTCCGTGCCCCCGGACTTGACCTTTTTTGTTTTGAAGTTGGACTCGTGCCCCCTGCAGCCCAGCTGCCTAGACGAAGTTCCGCTTACCTCGTGGTTCCCAGGCTTGAGATATTCAGAGAGGTGATAGACTGGTCCTACCTAGTGCATTTATGAATGGCGCTTTTTTCCCAGATACTCCCTTTTAAACTTAAGTTTAACCTCATCCTGAGTGACAATATCCAGGGACTCCTAGGTTTAATATGCTGGTGGTATTTTTTTTCAATATTTATTAAAAGAAAGGCCACCGTGTAACATAAAAATTATTCCCTTAGGACCTAAAAATAGTCTCAGCATCACTCTTGAGCTACCCAGTGGCAAGCCTGTGTGGCGTGAAGGTGAAAGCAGGAAAAGCTGATTATAACAAACCTCAAGAATGTAAAAAGACCTGGGTTCACATCCCCCCCTCTGCTACTTACCAGCTGTGTGACTTTGGATGAGTTGCTTGACCTCTCTGAGCATATAGGTCTCCATGGAAAGGGTCACTCATAATGATATGGAAGTATTGTAAGAATGACCCATTTATAGTCCTAAGCAGACTCCCTGGCACGCAGTGAACACTGAATAGATGACGGCTATTACCAGCAATAGCCATCTCCACAGTAACTCTGCCTGAAGACCCCAGGTTCTAACCCCAGCTGCATACCCTCCCGGCCATTCATTTCAAGGCCCCTTATTCTCTCTGCTGGGAAAATGGAGAAATTAATTCAGCCCCACTCCCTGAGGTTGGGCTGCTCCCGTGCCCCAAAGCTATGAAAACACTGATAAGTTGTAACTGCCTTATTTAACAGGCTCCTCAGACCCTCCTGTGGCTTTGTGGTATGTGGTCAGAGGAACTCCTGGGCACCTTGTGCCATGGGGTCCTTCACCGGCTCCTGCAGCTCCAAACCCTGAGGCATGTCGGGAAGGCAGGAAGTCTCCTTTCTGGCCTCTGACGTGGAAAAACGTTTCTCTCCTTTCTTGACCTGATGTCAGGAAGGAGCAGCAAAGCCCAAACACTTGTGGAGGACCGTGTCAGCCAGGGCACTGCAGTGGCTCTCGTCACCGACTGTGTCTTGGGGACGGGGGTGTACAGGGACTCCCACTCTTGGGTGCGTCGTCCTGGGGGTGCGCCTCTACCCAGAGACGGGGCTCTGCTGACCAGCCTGGCGTGTTCGCCCCCAAACCGAGGGAGGGCAGCTCCCTCCCAGCGTCAGCGCTGCTCTCTGAGGGGCCTCTGGTTCCTTCCTGCCACGAAAGGCAGCCTCAACTCTCGGGCTGCCAAACGGGCTTTTTCAAAAACATTTCTGTTTTCTCCCAGCATGAGCTCATCGATGTGCAATGCGTGTGCGGACTCCGGGCAGGGAAGGAGGATGTGCTGGGGGCTCCCCGCCCCGGCCTGTCCTCCGGGGTCAGTGTTGTCTCAGGGGCCCGGCCCGCAAGGCCACCTTCACCCGCCCCCCACCCGCCCTGTGGTCTGGCATCACCATGTGGTGGCAGCAGAAGGAGCCAGTCACCTCTGCCATCAGGACCTCGATGCCCACGGGAAATGAGACCGAGCTCTTTGCCGCAGCATGAAAGACACAGGACAATTACTGGCAAACATGTTTTTATTTATTTATTTTTAATCCTCGCCCGGAGATATGTTTATTCATTTTTAGAGAGATCAATTGGCAGCCTCCAACATATGAGCCCTAACTGGGGATCGAACCCTCAACCTTTCGGGGCATGGGACGATGCTCCAACCCACTGAGCCACCCGGCCAGGGCAGCGAATACGGTTTTTAAAACTTGGGCCACAGCACAGGAAAAACCCCTCACTCTCCACCTTGACGTGCTCTTCCTGAATTTTTGGGCTGCCAAATGCTTCCTGAAGCAATCTCGTTCTCTGGCTGGCTCTGTGGTTTCGGCAGAGCCGGGCATTTACTTCTGTGTCCAGTGTTTGAAAACAGATGTGGGGCATCTAGCAGCCCCCTGCTTTCTCCCCCTCCTGACTCAGTGGCACCCGGAAACCGGCTTTTCTGTGCTCATCGTGGGAGCCCCCCCCCCAAATAGGGGTCCTTCCTGTTTACTCTGTCTCTAAGCCTCGACACACTTAGAATCCAGGGGTAGTTTTCCCCAGGGCTTCTCCGTTATTCTGCAGAGTCTGAGCATTATGAGGCTAATTTTTCAGAAAGCGTGCTTGTCGCTGAAAATGTTAGAGGAGGTAAACCTAGCAACAGCTGTGTTTTACTCATGGCTCAGCCACAGCCACGGTTTAAAAGTCCCAATCAATAGCTAAGATTCGATTTCTTACGTTCCATCTTGGCTACTCACCTGTGCATCCTTTTTTATTTTTATTTTATTTTAAAGGTTTTATTTATTTACGTTTGGAGAGAGGGGAAGGGAAGGAGAAAAAGTAGGTGAGAAACATCAATGTGTGGTTGCCTCTTGTACGCCCCCTACCGGGGACCTGGCTCACAACCCAGGCATGTGCCCTGACTAGGAATCAAACTGGCGACCCTTTGGTTCACAGGCCCGCATTCAACCCACTGAGCCACACCAGCCAGGGCTCATTTTTATTTTTAAAAGAATTCCCTGTCTAATCTCACTGTGACCAGCAAATTCATGTTGTCACTGCGGCCGGCAGCCTTGCCCAAGTGAACAAGGAGAAACAGCCAAGGCTGGCTGCATGCTCACCACAGACCAGGCTGGTGGTGGCCTTTCCCCTGCAGCCCTTGTCATCCCATTTCAGAGGGGAGGAACCTGAGGTCCAGAGAGGTTCGGTAACCCATCCGAGGCTACCCAGCCAGAGACACCCTACAAGTCCCCACAATTCTAGGCCACAGTCCCTTGCCGGCCCCTCCCTGTCTCATCCCAGAAAAGGGCCGAGAATAAACGCTCCGTTCTGCCAGCAGACCTGCAGGTGCCGTCTGCAGCAGCCAAGCCCTGGAGAACTCTTGACATGGTTTGCGATACTGGGTTTCCCCTGGGAAAAGACGAGTCCCCACTGGGAACGCCAGTTAATGTGAGCCCAAGGTACAGTGTGCTGGCTGTCCCCTTGGCCTGCCTTGGTCCCCGAGCAGCACCTGAAGGAGGCAGGACACACCCCCACTCAAATCCGCCCTGTCTTCAGCAGCAGCTCACGGTCCTGTGTCCTTGCTGTCCCCAGGTGAGGATTGCCGGGCGCACCCGTCTGGTCCAAAAAGGGACAATGACTATAAGCACCGTGGTTGTTACGGTGACGATCGGAACAGTGAATGGGGCGCTTGCCCTGGGCGGACACAGTTGTTAGTGCTTTGCAAATATTGACTCCGGGGTCCCCGTGGGGTTGGTGACATTGCTATGGTTATTCTCAGTTTACGGATGAGGAAGCAGAGGAAGGGAGACTCTGGGACTCTCCCGTGCTAGGAAGGTGGTTGCCTGGGTTAGAGGAGGCTGAACTGAACGGAATGGCCCAGAATCTCACAAGGCAGCAGGCCTTCCCAATGCAGAGCAGAACGTCGGTGCCCCATGTTCGGTGCCTGCCGTGCTGCTGCAGACCAGCTGGACGACCTTGGACAAGTCCTGGGCTCTGTCAGCCTCGTGTCTGCGCCCTGCCGGGAGGAGGGAGCAGTCAAGCTCAGAGATGAGGCAAAGGCGGGCACAGCCACAGGGGCCTCTCTTCCTCTGTAAATCATCATCTCCCTCCCTGCCCGACTCTAAAACGAGAATGCAGCCCTGGGCTATGTGTCCGGGCGGCCACTTCCTGCAGAGACCGGCGATGGGCAGTTTCAGCACTGGGCTCAACTGGGGCCGCTTGTCTGAGGGACAAAGGGGCCCTCTGACACCCGGGCTGGAAATAGCAAAGAATCCTCACCATTGAGGAGCTGGGCGCGTGCCCTGGGGAACCACCTCCCTCACGACCAGCCACCGAGGGCGAGTCCTCCCCGCCCCATGCATCCGGCCCTGCAGCCCAGTCGGGGGTCACTGCCTCTTTGAGCCAGTAGTGCGACCATTCTGGGCTCCCCGGTCACTCCACATCGCACCGGCCAGCTGGGCCAGGAAGAACCTGCGTCCTCCCTTTCCCCTTGGTTAGAGGAAGCCAGTCCTCCCACCAGCTGCCCTGTCTCCAGTGGACCCTCCAAGAGCTTCCCAGGAGCGCAAGGAAGCGTGGGGTTGCCGAGGTGACAAAACACTACTGTGTCCTCCTCCATGGCCAGGCTTCACCTCAGCTGTTCGTCCACTGCCCTGTACAGGGACACACGATGCCTGAGCTCCGACGGACCCCTCAGCATCCTGACCGGCTGGGGCAGCTCTTACTTTTCAATGCGGCGTCTTGCTTTCTAAGAGACTCATGCACTGAGACGAGTAGAGATCGAGGTGCTGGGACCGTGCATGGTCCCCCTCCCCTGCCCCATTCTTAACAGCCTGACAAGTGAAAAGAAAACTATGTCTGATGTCTTGTCCTTGCAGACCCTGGAGACGATGGACACAGGGAAGCCGTTCCTTCATGCCTTTTTCATCGACCTGGAGGGCTGTATCAAAACCCTCAGATACTTCGCAGGGTGGGCAGACAAAGTTCAGGGCAGGACCATCCCCACAGGTGAGCAAGTGCGGGGCTCTCGGCCTCGGACGGGGTCTAATGGGGACCCTGTCTTTGCCTTCCTCCATCCAGGCAGCCTCTGCAGAGCACCCCTGGGCATTCCCCCAGTCCCTTCCCAGTCCCCCCAAAGGCAATGACAACTGTGCTGATCCTTCTAAGGAGTTTTACTTTTGAAATTGAGTTTAAACCGCTTCTTTGTGTAATAGTCTTACCATGGACACCTTAGTGGGCTTCTGGGTTCATCTCTTATTACTACTTAAAATTCTTCCGTCTAAATTAATGTGTCTTCCTCCCCGCCCTGCACCCTTCCTGCAGATGACAGCGTGGTGTGTTTCACCAGGCACGAGCCGGTTGGTGTGTGTGGGGCCATCACTCCTGTGAGTACCCGGCTCCCCTCGGCCCCCTCCCTTGGGGCCCTTAGAAACAATTCCCAGTGTGTTTTGATTCTCTGTCACCGACAGTAACGGAGCACTGGCTCTGTGGCATGGAGCTCCGTGCTCAAGGGTCATCGAGATGGATTAGTGCCCCCCTCCTGCTCTCAGGGGACACAGCTGGCGTGTAACAGAAGGTGGCATGGATTCCAAACAGGGGCCCGGAACAGCCAGCACCCCCAGGGCAGTGGCCTTCCTAACCGGGCCTTGGCCGACGAGAAGGAACAGGCAGCAGGCAAGGGCTTTGCAAGTGAAGAAATGGCCAGAGCAATGGGCGACTTCGGTGGCAGGACAGCTGGTGGCACCAGAGCTGAGAAGGGGTGGGGAGGACGTGAGAGAGAGGACGAGCACCTGTGTGAGGGGGAGGGGCCCAGGTTCCGGTGGCCTCGCCGGCTGAGCATCTGGGAGCTTGTTCACTGGGCGGTGAGCAGCCGGGCAGGGCCGGGAAGGCCCCGCTGCAGATGGCTGCAATAATGCCATGGTCTCACGCCGGTTTGTGAGGACCGAACGAGCTCCCACTTTGTGGAGCCCGAGAACCCCGCCTGGCACACAGCAAGCGCCCAGGCATGAGCTTTTGTCCTGCCTACCATCACCGTGGCTTTGGCATCCTTGCCTCTGTAGTCGAAAGATGAGGAGAAAAGCATTTCCCAAAATGAATTTCACCAAGTGCCCGTTCACGGGTGGTGGGGGAAGGGTGGTCTGAGTTGGATGCTGTGGCCTGAGTTGGGGAGAGGCAGGTCGCATTTCTGCAGCCTTTAATACGCTAAAGGCTAACCTGCACGAGCGCCCATACAGCAGCATCGTCTTTGCAAAGAATACCTCTCAGCAACCCAGAGTGGGCTTAGGAAGCAGCGGGCGGGAATGCAGTTCTGGTCCTTGCAAATACCTGTTACTCCTTACACCCGAGTCTGCACCGTGCATAGCGAGGGCCCTCCACCGAGGCCTTGTTGGGCATCCGGAGCAGGGCAGCGGGCTGGACCCCGGTCCCCCAATCGCCCTGTGCCCCGTTGCAGTGGAACTTCCCCCTGCTCATGCTGGTGTGGAAGCTGGCGCCCTCTCTGTGCTGCGGGAACACAATCGTCATCAAACCTGCCGAACAGACGCCCCTCACCGCCCTTTATCTCGGCTCTCTGATCCAAGAGGTAAGACGTCCAAAAGGAAAATATTATGTGTTCTTGCTAACGGCCCCACCCCCCGGGAAGCAGGCCACCATCCCGAGATAAAGCTGCCCCGCCGAGCGGTGCCGTGCGTGACAGCCCAGCCCGCTCACGGCTGAGCGGGAAGGGGATGACGCCTGTTTCACTTGGCAACTGCCCATTCTTTCTGCTGCCCGTGGTCACTGACCTAGAAGGAACTCCAGTCCTCCCACTAATCCGCATGAGGAAGCTCACACTCACACTTACATTAGGGCCAAACGTTTTCCGCAGAGAATTTGCAGGAGAGTCAATTGGGAGGGGACCAAATATTCAGAGGTTGGGGGGTCTAGCGTGTGTGGTGGATGAAAGGGTCTGTGTTCCCCTTGGAGGGGTGAGTTGGCAGCAGAAGTGGCTGTCACCCTGCCAGGCTCGCCAGGGCCCTGCTCTCCGCACGGCCGACCTCCTCTCCCGGGCAACCAACCACCTTTCCCATTGGGGACGCCACTCTGCTTGGGGACGTCACTTAGCCATGACTCTCTCGGCCCAAGCCGGGGTCCATGTTGGGCACTGGTTCCTTCTCTTCCTTGAATGCCGTCTCGGTGTCCCCCAGGTCGGGTTCCCTCCGGGCGTGGTGAACATCGTACCGGGCTTCGGGCCCACGGTGGGAGCCGCCATCTCTTCCCACCCGCGGATCAACAAGATAGCCTTCACCGGCTCCACGGAGGTAACGCCCCGCCCCCGCCCCCGCCCCACTGGCCATTGGCCACCGTGACCGTCCGGGTCTGACTGGACAGCTAGGGACGTTTCCTATACGAAGCTAAGACTCGATTTTCCTTTGAAATCTGGCCACATTTTCATATGTAACCATCAGTTTTCGAAAGTCACTGGTCCCATTTCCAAACTGAATAAATATTTCATAGGACCCAGAAGCCTTGGGAGAAATAATACGTAAGAGCAAATAAAAATGTGAAGCAGCCATAAGACAAGCAACATCGTAAGTAAGGTTGAAGCTTGGAGAAAGCCAGTCATAGTGTGTGCAGTTCCCCAAAGGCATGTATCCATAATATGTAAAGTGCTCCGAAAAATCAATGAAAAAAAAGACCACAAGGTGAATGGTGGCAAAGCGGGCAGCTCAGAGAAGAGAAATGTCAAATGACCAATAAGCCTGACCTAGTTCACTGGTAATTGGGGAAATGCAAAATCATATGCAAATTGGACTCTTTCTTTTTTGTCTGTCGGATTGGAAAAAAAATTGGAGTCTGGGCTACACAAGGTGAGGGGACGATGGGCCTTCACTGGACCTAAGGTAGAGGGTCCTGTGGCAGGACCCCCCCCCACAAATCTGGACATGTTGTAAAACTTTTGATTTTGAGATTCTGCTTTGCAGCAACGACTTGAAGCAGTAATCTTACAAATATTCATATTTTCTACTATGTTATATTCTGTGCGATGTCTTTTTAAATGCATTTTATTTTATTATTTTTTAAAGATTTTATTTATTCATTTTTAGAGAGAGGGGAAGGGAGGGAGAAAGAGAGGGGGAGAAACATCACTGTGTGGTTGCCTCTTGAGCGCCCCCTACTGGGGACCTGGCCTGCAACCCAGGCATGTGCCCTGACTGGGAATCAAACCAGCGACCCTTTAGTTTGCAGACTGGTGCTCAATCCACTGAGCTACACCAGCCAGGGCAGATTCTGTGCAAAGTTGATAGCCTTTATAGCAGGGAAAGCTCCCCTGATCACTTGATGAAACACAGAAAAGTGAACTGTATGGAAGTATACAACACAATCTCATTAGTTAAAGTGTGTGGAGAGAGGCAAAAATTGTCTGAAAAAAATTTCCCAGGAACTCCCTCCATGACCACCCCTGGGGCGGGTCCTACGGTGAAAGGAGATGAGAACTTCCCCCTTTAGTTTGCATGCATCTGTCTGTGAGATTACTTTCCATGGCATGGTACTCTCTGTGTACTTAAAAAAAGAACTGAATGGCCCTGGCTGCTGTGGCTCAGTTGGTTGGAGCATCGCCCCACAGACCAAGGGGTCATGGCTTCAATTCCCAGTCAGGGCACATTGCTAGGTTGCGAGTTCAGTCCCCAGTTGGGGTGCACGTGAGAGGCAACTGATTGACGTCTCTCTCTTGCATTGATGTTTCTTTCCCTCTCTCTCCCCCGCCTTCCCCTCTGTCTAAAAATCAATAAGCATGTCCTTCAGTGAAGATTTTTTTAAAAAGGAAGAAGAAAAGATGTGAATGAATATTTCCCATGCAATTAGTGTTCCTGTGTCCTCCTAGCTGAGCAGAGCCAGGAGCCCGAGCCCCGCTCCCGTGGCCAGCCGGACAGCACAGGGAGCTTGGTTAGGGAAGCATAGAGGGAATGGAACTGGGGCCCTGCACAGCGTTGAAACAGGTGATGGCAGGCCGAACAGGGCAGCAACAGCCTCATTCCTGGCTGAGCCAGGGAGACAGGGACAGAGAGGCGCCAGGCGTGGCCCCTGGCCTCTGGCTGCCGGCAAGTCTTCCCAGCTCCTCACCCAACAGCAAAACCATCCCTGCCCCTTCCCTGCCGCCTGGCACCTCTCAGCAACCTCGGGGCTGCTCACAGGTCTGGCCAGGGAGTGCACTCTCTAGGCAGCCAGAGTCGGAGACAAGAGACAGGCCTCTGTGGCTTCCCCCCCACCCCTCGGCCCCACCAAGGAGTCGCCAGCCTGGGTCAGGCAGCTTTGGCTTCCATTGTCCACCTGGGGGCAGTCATGGTCACCATCAGCCTCTTTCAGTCCTGAGTCTGGCCATCACCCAGGAGCTGGCTGATTTTTATTTTTCATTCTTGCCCAAAAACATGTTCATTGTTTGGAGAGACAGGAAAGGAGACAAAGAGAGAGAGACATCGATGTGAGAGAGAGACATCGATCAGTGGCCTCCCATACACGCCCCGACTAGGGATCGAACCCTCCCCTTTTGGTGCATGGGATGAAGCTCCAGCCAACCAAGCCCCACCCTGGCCAGGTCGAGCTGGTGCACTTTTAAAGTGCCCTCACACCTAGTTTGTGGGAACAGCCTCAGTCCTGGAGGAGCCTAGCCCTGCCTCTCGCTACCGGCCTGGTCTAGGCCCCTGTGTGCGCCTGGGTCTCTGAGAGTCTTCCATGGCACCTGGCTTTACCTGTCACCAAGATAAGTCCCCAAGGGGTCCCGGGCCCAACCTACCCCCTAGCAGCATGTGAGATGACAGCAGGGACGTGCAGAAGGTTGAGCGCCGTGGGTCAGTGAGGGTCTTCCGTACTCCACGGCCCAGACACTCCCCACCCCCTGCCGAGGCCCCAGCCTCAGCCTGTGTTTCCAGAGAACCGACTCCTCCTCCTGCAGGTCCGTCTCCCCAACTCCCTCACTCTCAGCGGCTCCCTCAGGCTCTACCAGAGAGACCAACAGAGCAATCTCCCTTCTCAGTGAGGGGTAGAGGGGCTGCCCTTTGTCCCCCCGGGGCCCGTTCCCGTTCTAGCTGGACTGGCAAGTGTCTGGGAGCGGTGGTCCCCAGGACAGCGGAGGGGCTCGGTCCTCCACTGACAAGCTGCGTAGCTGTGGGTGCAACACTGGGCCTCCCTAAGCCTCCCTCTCCACCCCGTGCATGGAGTGGCTCGGACCAAGGGTTCCGGCGACATGAAGGTCTCAGGGGCGGGGAGCGGCCAGGGGAGGGAGACAAATACTGGGGCCACGTCTGGCCACGTCCAAGGTTTAATCTGGTCTGCTTGTCCTCCTGAAGGTTGGAAAGCTGGTCAAAGAAGCCGCATCTCGGAGCAACCTGAAGAGGGTGACCCTGGAGCTCGGGGGGAAGAACCCCTGCATTGTGTGTGCCGACGCCGACTGTGAGTCCCCCCTCCCACCACCGGGCTCTGCTGGGCTGTAGGGGACTCAGAAGTCCCACCGCGCTTCCTCGACCCAGTTCAGAACCAGCTGAAACACGCGTGTGCACTTGAGGGGCATGCTTCCCTCCTTGGGGCGCCAGGCCATCTGCAGACAGATGCAGCGAAACACCAGCTTTATGGTTCCACTGCCGGGAGATGTGTCTTAGGTGGTCACCAGGGGGCGTCCTGGTTCTGTCCTTCAAGGTTAAGTTTATCTTCCCATCCCCATGGACAAAGTCAGTTTCTTCTCCGAGATCCTGAGCCGGAAGGGGCAGGACAGGGGGTGGAGATGAACGATGGAGAGACAGGGCAGGCGGGCCCCACTTACTATCCATTCTGTTCTCCAAGCCAATTTCTCTGTAGCACTTTCAAGATCTCCAAAGACTGGAACTGGCCTCTACCACCTCTTCCCCTGAAGGAACCCAGTGCCCTATTTACCTGTTGCAAGCAATAGCCTCCCCCACCTGCCCTTCCTTTCGTGCCAGAAATTCCTTTCAGGACGAACAAAGCCTTCCATTCCGCACTCAGATAAGCTTGGAATTGCAAATATCCCTGAGAAAACTGTCCTTAGCAAGGTGGTGCATCAGTGGCGGCTGGCAAATGCTCACCTTGCAGCTGGGGTTCCGTGGGAGAGAGGCCTGTGAAAGCTGACTGCTCGTTGCTATCATGTTATTATTTCTATTACTATGTTCCCCGGGCTGGTGCTCCCTTGGGGAAGCCATACGGGCGTTGCCTCCCTGGGACCCACATTTGAAGCTCCAATCACCGAGCCCCCAAACAGCCAGGGCTCCTGCTTTGCTGAGTGCCGCCCTATCTGGGCTCCTCCGTCTGCACCCCCGCTCACCCCATTTTCCTCCCAGTGGGAAAACCACAGCTCAACACAAGAAAACTTCTGCGGGAGGGTAGATCAGACATTCCCATCCCCCATCTATGGGGGCTGGTTTACAAAGTGAAACCGTGATGTCCCTGGCATGCCAGGTGTGGTGTCAGTGACAACGTGCCACCAGACCCCGCCGCTGCAGCCACCACCCCGGCTCCCATCAGGAAATAAATTAGTTAGTTTGGAGGAAGGGCATTTTTAAGTTTGCATAAACAATTGGAGGTGCAGGGAGGGGCAGGAACCTTAGGATGCTGTCCTGGACCCTACACCAACTTACATAGAAGCCGGTTAGTGACGGCCTGGCTCTCAAAGCCAAGGGCAGCACTGCTTGGGGTTAGCCCAAGAGCGATGCTGGATGTGGGTGCGTCACCCGGCCATGCACTTGCCCAGGAGGGTCCTGGCTCTGAATGTAAAAGATATCCCACTTGGCATTCATAGCCATTAAGCAGGTGCCTCCAAGGACCCTCTAGCTCAGTCCCAGACCCTGGTTTTAATTCAATGCCACTCAGCCTCTGATTCTCTGCAATTCAGGTTCAGGCCTTGCCGGGCTGAGTCGGCGCTTTCTCTCCCTGTTTTAACTCTTAGACATCACACACGGTGTCATATGCATTTAATCAGACCCTTCCTGCCGCACAAGGGGGGACATTTGGGCTCCTTCCAAAGTCCTCGCCCATTGGGCTACCTCAATACTTAGCAAAGGTTATTCTCAAGGATAATTAATCCTCCAGAAAAGGGGGGGCCGTGAGCCGGTGAAATGGGGGCTGCCACAGCTCTCTGAGCTCAGTGCATAGTGGGGAACCTCTTCAACCCCAAACTCCAAAGTCCTTGTTTCCATCCTCTGTGTTTGGGACGCGCCAAGAACAAAATTACCTGCCGGAGTCCCAGAGCCTGTTTTCTTGTGCGGGCAGTGAGACTCGCCGCTGCGGCCCAGCCCGGCCTCAGGGATCAATCGCTTCCGTCCCTGTCCCTACAGTGGACTTGGCAGTGGAGTGCGCCCATCAGGGAGTGTTCTTCAACCAAGGCCAGTGCTGCACAGCCGCCTCCAGGGTGTTCGTGGAGGAGCAGGTCTACCCGGAGTTCGTCAGGAGGAGCGTGGAGTCCGCCAAGAAACGGTCCGTCGGAGACCCCTTCGACGCCAGGACGGAGCAGGGGCCCCAGGTAACCTCCCCACGTGGGGGAACCCGCGGCGCGTGTCTGGGAGTGGAACCAGAGGCCCCTCGGACCCTGGCCTGGGCCATGCTGATGTGCTGTGATCCCCGGGGCCCTCCCAATGCCAAAGGGGGGGCTAACTTGCCTTCCCACTTAAGGCTCCTGCCTAGACGCCAACTGACGGTACGATTGCATCTCTGTTGGGTCTCAGTGCAGCTTTGAAATGGGGCTGGACACCAAGAGGCTTTGCTTTTTACAGCAAATAATGTCAAACTCCGGGCCTCGCCAGGAGTGGGGGCCGTCCCCAGTCTGTAAGGCCACGTACCCACAAGACTGGCCCTTCTCTGAGCCACCAGGGTGCCCCAGAGAGAGCCCCAGGCAGCTCTCTTACCTGGCTGGTCTCCCTGCAGAAGAGGGTTCGTAACCTGGCCACAAGGCAGATGACACAGGTGGGGGCAATGCCTGGAGCTAGTGGCCTCAGCCCAGATGCCCTCAAGCCCCGGGACGTTACAGAAGGTCAGCATCAGAAACCACAACATCCTGAGCAGGGAGCTGGGTGGGTAGGAGGACCTGGTTGGAGAAGCCAGCGACAAAATGAAAACGCTCATAACCACAGGGTTTTATAACCTCTTTAAAAGGGCACATCCGTTATCACGTTCTTACTCACTACGCAGTCCAGCCCATGGATAAATATTTAAAAGAGGGCAGCCTGACCATCCCATGCATTATTGAAGTGGAGCTCAGCTGCAGCCCGCATCACTTGCAGCCAAAGACCTGCCCTGGCCACGAAGTTTCAAATCACGTGCCCAGACTCGGCCGCTCGCCGGCCACACCGCGTGTTTACACGGGGCACTGCGGATCTGGGCACAGAGTTGGCCCTGCGACCGCATGAAAGGTCACACGCCCCTTCCAAACCTCAGTTTCCTCGCCTGGAAACTGGGAGTGATTGATGGCTGTTTGGAACATTTCAAGGCCCGGAGGATGGTGTTATTTTTTTAAGGCCAGGAGCATGAATAATGGCAGGGTCCCCAATCTAAGCAGCAATGAATGATGGCGCGTGACTTGCTGGGGATGCGGTGGCTGGGGACAGACGAGGTGCGTTCTGGCCACAGTGCCCACCCTGGCGGTGCCCCCAGCCCACACGCTCTGTGGCTCTGATGCCACATGACCCTGGCAGAGAGCAGTATCCCTGCTCGTGGCCAACACTCCCCACTTTGCCAGTGACACAGAGGTTGTCTAGCGGCCTTGGCTGGGTTTCAAGTCTGAAGACAAACCCGGCCACCAGTCATTAACCCAATCCACCGTGATTGTAAAGCTGATCCAGACCCCATGGGAGACCATGGGGGCGGGTCCCGGGCTAAAGGAAACTCTGTTACCCCCTCATTATGCGTAAGTCTCTTTCCAAGGCTCCAGGCTTGGCCGGGGAAGCCAGATAGAGAAACCTCTTCCAAGACGGCAGATCCACGCAGGACGGGTGTTGATTTCATCACTGCTTTTGATGAAATCAACTGAAAGTCCTTTCTAAAAGCTCACTTAAAGCCATCCGACCTCAGTGTATTATTTTAGGATGCTGTTAGGGCTTCCCCCCCCCCCCCGCCCCCGCCCCCAAAGTGCTTTTTCATCTACGCTAATAAGATTCTACTCTGCGCGGACCAACAGCTGTCTAAACAGCCGGGTCTGTCGCACGCCCGTAAAACAGCTCCATGACCTAGATCCTCGTTCGCTGCTGGCAAACCACTGCCCAGAATGCTCCGAAATCACTCAGGTTTGTTTGGCAACTGTGCCTCGGGACACGTAAACATCACGCAGGGCGCCTGGCGGGCCGATCTGGCATCCTTTTCCCCGGGGCCAAGGGCAGCCTTTCACCAGTCCTGCCGGGGTCGTATTTCTCTCAAGTGGACCGGCCAGGGAGAGTTGAGTCTGGGTGTGTACAGGGTGTCCATGGGGAACCAGTACGGCCTGCAGGACGGCCAGGTGTGGGGCCCGGGCTTACTCAGCCATCAGCCGCCCAGAACCCATAGTCTGCTGAAGCCGGAAAAGCCCTCGTGGCCTCCCAGGAGGAGGTGAGAGTCACACCCTCAACTTTCAGCCCAAGACTCAGTCAACCCAGCGAGAAGCTGAGAAAACCCTGAGGTGTTACGGTGGCAGTTGCTTGAATTACGTTTTGAAGTGGGTGTGCGTACCCGTGGGTCAGAACCCCAAACGCGTTTGTCAAAGCCGTTCCTGAGCCTGGTTCCTGTGCTTCCCCCACTGGGTACCCCACATTCTCAGTTTCTCGGGCTCTATAACTTCTTTATGCGTCTGCTAGCACCCGTGGAGATATATTCTGATTCTGCACCCCCCCCTTTTCTACCCAAAAGACAGCCGTATATCTAAGCTGTCTTGCACCTCAGTTTCTGTCCCCCTACCGAGAAACTTGAAGAGCACTCAGGCCGAGTCCGTGGGAACCTTCCTTGTCCTCTGTCACATGTACATAGAACTCTGCTGTATGAAGCCACCAGCGTTCCAGTGGCACATTCACACGCACTTGTGGGTGTATGCAGTGACATGCAATGCCACTGAGTATGTCCGTTCACACACGTGCCCGGGAATCCACGGGACAGGTTCCCTGAGTGGGGCCACTGGGTGAGAGTGCCCCAGTCGCCTCTGCAAGCATTGCCAAGTCGCCATCCGGGAGAGCAGATCTGCGCATGCTCCGACCAGCCTTGCAGGAGTTGCTCTGTTCTGACTCACTCACACAACGTGGGGTTTTGCCCATCTGATAGTTAGAGATGGCATCCCACTTGGCTTTCAAAGGCTTGTAGCTCCCACGGTGAGTCACGTAGAACATCTTGTCACGCGTTCAGAGGCCATCTGTACTTCCCTTTCTTTCGGCTGTGCCACAGTTGGCATCTTTTGCTGTGGTATCACTCATCATTTTTCTTATCACTTCTAGGAATGTTCTATGCCCTGGAAAGACCGGCTCTGTGCCTGTGATAAGCCTGGTGAATTTTTTCCCGTTTATTTTACCCTTCGACTTTGCTTACAGAATTGTTGCCTTTTTTTTTTTAAACATACTCAAATTGATCAGGGTTTTTTGTTTGTGTGTTTGTTCTTTTGGCTTCTGGGTTTCAAGCCATAGATGTGCTATGAGCTCTCCGAGTTGACAGACGCGTTTCGCATGTGAGAGAGTTTGGAAACATTCGTGCTCTCACCGTCCCTGGTGGAGTCTTTGATCTGTTTGGAATTCACCTGGTGGAAGGTGTGAGATGAGTCTCCGCCTTGGCATTTTAACACGTGACCACACTGCATGAGTAGACTGGTCAGTGGCGTGTGTGCCTTATGCCCATCTTGTCTCACAAAGCCGACCGAGTCCTCCATGAGGGTCAACCGAATGCACCTTTGCGTTTGTGCTTTTTTTGTTTTTTAACTGAAATTTGTTTAAATGAAACCAGGTTTTCTATCTAAAAAGCTCAGCTATAGCAAAAGTAGCAAAGCTCTCTCTCTCCCAGTCAAAGAGGAGGGGCTGGCATCAGGGTCATGGTCAAGACCAGACCCTCCACGGATTTGGGAGAAAGGACCAGTGGGGGTGGGGAGGGCACTCTGCAGCACGAGGCAGTCTCCCTTAGCGGTGCCATTTGACAGCTGGTTGGTCACCACCCCCACAAGCTTGGTGTTAGGCTGTGGTACGGGGCCCGACCCCGCTGGGAAGACCCCTACAATGGGTGTCAGATGGTGGGGGCTTTCTGGTGAGCTGGCTCCCCACCCACCAAGGGGCAACCAGCCCCTCCAGCCCACCTGGAGCCTCATCCACTCTGCCTCCGGGGATGCTGGCTCAGGCGGGCAGCTTTCATTCTCCCTTCTCCTCTGCACCAAGGACGGAGACTTCCGACAACCGTTCCCCTGACCCATGGTGCCCCGTGAGCAGGGCACAGCATTGCCAGATACACACGCAGCGCCCAGTTCGATTGGAAGGTTGAATAAATACAGAATACATTTTTAGCGTTAACTATTGGCCAAAGATGGTTTGGGGGATGCTTCTACCAGGAAAATCACACCTTAGTTTTCAGAAATCAGATGTAACTGGGTGTCCTGTAGTTTTATTTGCTAAACCCGGCAACCCTAGCAGGATGCATAGAGTTGGAAAGCAAATAATAACACCACTCAGGTCTGGTTTTATGCACGGATTTGCTTAGTAGCAAGGCGGGGTCAGGCATACGGACAGACCCCACACCTGGTGAGCCGAGCCCCTCTCTCTCTCCTGCCCCGAAGAGCCTAGAATTGGACAACAGGAACATCCGTTGCATCCAAGGCACGTTTATTCCATGAATTTATGACTTGGCAAGAACTTTTAGGGGCAAGACAGCTGACCCCATTGAAGGCCTCCGGATCCGTAAGGCGGCAGCCACCCCTCAGAAGGAGGCTGGCCACTTCTTCCCATCATGTCTTGCAGATTGACCAAACCCAGTTCGACAAAATCCTGGACCTGATCGAGAGCGGGAAGAAAGAGGGAGCCAAGCTGGAATGTGGGGGCTCGGCCATGGAGGACAGGGGGCTCTACATCAAGCCCACCGTCTTCTCGGAAGTCACGGACACCATGCGGATTGCCAGAGAGGAGGTACCAGAGCCGCAGGCAAAGCCGAGGCCCATGGGGTCTGGGGCTGAACGGGGGAGGCGGGGACACTGGGCTTTTCATACGTGGGGACTGTTCTGGGGCTCAGTGATTCGCGGTGGGTTTATGAGGGGAGCGTTTGTTCTGTCTGGTGTGTCTTTTCCCTTTCCACCGGGGTCCTTAGGGAAGCCATGTTGGCCCCCCGCCCCCCACCTCTGGAACTCCCTAGCCCTGTACAGAGGGTACAGAGTGTGCCCTAAGTCCCCTTGCCCACTCATCACTCATCATCTCTAGGAACGCCAACCTCTCTCTGTTTTCTAACACGTCTTGGAGTGGAAGGCTACTGTGCTCATGGGTTTCACCTGCAATCGTGGGTTGAGGGCCCAACACTGCCTTTGGTCTCCCAGACTGAAGTTAAATGACAAGTTCACTCAAAGAACATGTCACAAGTAAAATTCTCTCTCAAGATTTTCCATCACAGGCATCCTTGGACGTGGTGGAAGCTGAGGCCGTCCCAGCAGGGGGGGACCTCTATTTGTCTATCAGTACCACTCGGAAGCTTGACAGAAACCGGTTCCCGCCCCGGTCCCAGGTGGTCGGACCCCGGGGTGAGAGAAGGAATCCCTGCCGAGGGCACTTTATAGATTTTCTCCTTGAGATTTTTATGGGCTACGAACACTACCGTGGTGGCGTAACACCCAGCTCTCAAACCCCCTTCCCCACGCCCCTGCTTTTTGGGAACGTGGGAAGCTATGCGGCAGGTTGGCACCGGCCCGCAGCGCTCTGGTCCTGCCGCACAGTGAATCGACCCTTCAGCCCCGCCCTTCAGCCTTTAGCTCTCGCCTTTCCTTTCCTTTGCTGTGCTGTTGGCTCCCTCCCCTGGGAGTGTGGTGGAATCATGTTGGGGCGTCCTCACTGGTGGGAGACGCAACTCCAAGACAGGTCAGGGCACAGGGTCCTCCATCGGTGCCTGTGCACCTGCTTCGAGACGACTCCCCGAGAAAAATGTCCAAGGTTTGGCCTTTTGCGCATCTGAGCGTTCAGGGGCCCCTCCAACGCCCCTGGTGTTAACCCGAGATCTGAAACTCAATATAGACTTTGGGTTGTAATTTCTAATTCCTGTTTCATTTGAACCTTTCCCTTCAGACTGCAACCAACACATAGCTAAAAATGCCCTTGGACATGACTTTCTTGCCCAGTCACGTTTTTTCGCGCACAGGAGCACGTAGGCTATAAGGCAAGGCATGCAACAAGGAAACGCCTCTGTGTTTTACTGGGATTCAGTGGCCTCTCTCTACCATTCTTTCGATCCATCCTAGATTTTCGGGCCAGTGCAGCCAATTCTGAAGTTCAAAACTATTGAAGAAGTGATCCAGAGAGCAAACAGCCTGGAATACGGGCTCACGGCAGCTGTGTTCACCAAAAACCTTGACAAAGCCCTGAAGCTGGCCTCCGCCCTGGAGTCCGGCACTGTCTGGTGAGTGGCGGGCATGTGTTTCGGCTCTGCCGAGTGGCGGGCTTGCCAGCTTCGGGACTCATGGGTTAACGCAGAGCTTCTGGTCACCTGTTAGGGGCCAAGCACTGTCTTTGCTCAGCTGGATCCTCATGACCACTGTCAGAGATGGGTACCATTACCACCTCCATTTTACATGTGAGGCTATGTAGGCACAGAGAGGTGGAGTGACCTGCCTGGGGTCACACAGCGTCACACAGCTAGCACATGGCAGAGTTGGGCTCCAGCCAGCCACCCAGCTGCAGGGCCCCTCTGACTTCACTCCCTCTGGGTTTATTTTTTCATTCTGATTGTAAAAACAACTCATGCTTCTGTGCAAAGTACGCGTGGAAGATCCCTGCTTCACCAATAGTTCTATACACTTCAGTATTTTCATTGTGAAGGGAATATTAGGTGATGAGGTGAGCTGGGCTCTGAGAGGCTGAGTCATAAGGCCCAAATCCAACAGGCGAGCAGCAGGAGAACTTCAAGATCCTTCTGTCCATGTCGAAGCGAATTCTGGGTCCTCTACACCATGCCTTTCCTTGCCTCCCCTGTCTCCTTGTCATCCCTTCCTGTAAAGCGAAAGCTTTGTACTTAAGGATAGTCAAATCTCATCGTCTGGTGGGAAGAACGAGAAGGCAGAAGTCAAAAGCACACTGTTTCCACGATTAAAACGGTGACAAAAAGTCGTTCTTTCGGCGGCCCTCCAGAGAGAGCCCCTCATCGCCGGAAGGCGCAGGTGGCTCCATCTGGGTAACCACGAGCGTGTTCTCATTCTCTCTCCAGGATCAACTGCTACAATGCCCTCTATGCACAGGCTCCGTTCGGTGGCTTTAAAATGTCGGGAAATGGCCGAGAACTGTAAGTCCTTCTGTCCCTCCACCCCTGCTGGCAGGGTCAATGCGATGCTCCAGTCTGTCTCCGTGTGTCCCTCTGGGGCAGCTGTGTCACCACGGCTGGTGGTTCTCTCTCCCTGTGGGGCTGGTCCGGATTCGCCCCCGCCCTCCCCCTCATGCCCCGCCCCATCAGGCCCCAGGACCCGGCTGCAGCCTCAGCTCCTGTGTCTCCAAAACACCGCTGACACAGGGGCACATTCGGTAGATACACAGTGGAGACAAGGGCGTGGGCAGAACTGGAAAAGTGCTCTTTCTGCCAGACACGGGATGTCGTCACTCACTCAAACCCCGGGCCCTCTCCCAGGCTGGACTCGGGCTCTGCCTGTCATCAGCTGAGGCCTCAGGGAGAGACCGCGAGCATCTTGGCTCCTTCTCAGTGCCTCGTCGGGAGGCCGGCATAACATCTTCTGCCGGGAGTCCTGGTTCTATCAGACTCCCAGTGTATTCCTTCCCGGTTCCCTTTGGTCTTTATTTATTTATTTATTATTTTAGAGAAGGAAAAAGAGGGAGAAAGACAGGGAGAGAAACATCAATGTGTGGTTGCCTCTTGCACGCCCCCTACTGGGGACCTCACTCGCACCCAGGCACGTGCCCTGACTGGGAATTGAACCAGTGACCCTTCGGTTCACAGGGCAGTGCTCAATCCACTGAGCCACACCAGCCAGGGCCCTTTGCTCTCTTGTCCATGGGGCACATGTGGTCACGGGTCTTCCCTGATCAGCCGCCTTCAGCCAGGCAGGTTGGGACAGCGAGGGGACCAGCACAGCCCTCTCGCAGCCAGAACTGCAGTCCCCACAGCAGATGTATTTGGATGTGGAAGCAGCGGGAAGGGTGTACGGGACCCACCTGACGCCCGGTGGGTACTGTCTCACACCGACTACCGCTTCCTGTCCTCACCCGTGTCACCTCAGTGTCCCACCCGCTCCCCTGACGATGCTTCCAAATTCCAGTGCCCCTCTGCCTGGTGCAGAGCAGGGCCAGGCATGTATCCACTGAACACAGTCCATATTTCTGCTCATGAGCCACAGTTGGGACTTTTTTGAACATCTGGGTTTTTTTGTTCTTTTTTTTTTTTTTGACTCTTGGAATGTATTTTCCCAAGGCTTTTGATAAAGTACTTGAGCATAACTCACCAGGAGCCTGGAAAAGGACTTGAAAACCAATTTCCATTTTCAGTTGTCTGTAATTAATGTCTTCATGTTGCAATAAGTTCCCCTTTCTGCTGCTGGAACGCCGGACGGTGGATTCCATGGTTTTCCCCACCCCCGGCCGCCCAGGCCGGGCTGGCAATGTGCGGCCCACCCACGGGCCCTCCGGGACCCGCTCCTGAGCAGGTCTGGAGAAGAAGCCTGCAGCCTCTCTTCCTCCGGGGTGCTTTTCTCGATTCTTTGCTCTGCTTTGCAATTAAAGTAATACAGTCACACACACACACACACACAAAATCCACACAGGCCCTGCCTGGTGCAGCTCAGCTGGTTGGAGCATCATCCCATAGACCAATTGGTCATGAGTTCAATTCCTGGTCAGGGCGCATGCCCAGGTGGCAGGTTCGATTCCCTGTCAGGGCATGGTCAAGAAGGCAGCCAATCGGTATTTTCTCTCACATTGACATTTCTCTTTCTCTAAAGAGCAATGGAAAAAAAGGTCCCCAGGTGAAGATAAATTTTTTTAAGGTTATTGTGCACTTTCTATGCACATAGCAGATGCAGATAGGTGTGATCTTTTCTGTCTCCAAATGAAATGGGAGCGAACTACTTCTTGCTCCTAAGGCTGAGCTTTGGATGTGCCATTCATTTTATTGGTGGTCACCTAAGGTGGACTTTTGTGTTATTTCCGAGTGGTTTTGCTCTTACTAGTCCTGCTGACGTTCTCCTCTGTGCGTGAATCTTTACCCACCTGTGGGGACCATGGTGCTGAAAAGGGTCACCGGGGCTCTGCCAGACCGAACGCAGTGACATTCGTCACAGACACTTGCTCATCGGCTGTGGCCGTTCTGTGTCCAGTGCTGACACCTCCTCCCCTGGCCACTCCCCTGGCCTCATTCTTTTTACAGCTGGTCCCCAGCTGTGTGCTCTGAGGCGAGTCCAGGCCCTCTGTGTCCCTGGCCCTCGAGGGTCCTCTGGCCACCGCTCAGGCTGTGGCATTGAGCCTTGGTCTCTTCCCTGTCTTTGATGTCTTCAGCTAAAAGTCATAAATCCTGACTGATTCACCTCTTCTTTTTAATTTTTCTTATTGTGTTAAAGATTTTATTTATCTATTTTTAGAGAAAGAGGAAGGGAGGGAGAAAGAGAGGGAGAGAAACATCCATGTGTGGTTGCCTCTCACATGTCCCAAACTGGGGACCAGGCTCGCAACCCAGGCATGTGCACTGACTGGGAATCGAACCAGTGACCCTTTGGTTCATAGGCCAGAGCTCAACCTATCGAGCCATACACACCAGCCAGGGCTCTTTTTTAAAAAAATCTTCACCCGGAGAATATGTTTACTGATATTTTAGAGAGAGAAGGGGAAGAGAGAGAAAGAGAGGAACATCAATGTGAAAGGTAACATTGATCAGTTACCTCCCCTACCTGTCCTGACCAGGGATTGAACCTGCAACCCAAGTATGTGCCCTGATGGGGAATCCAACCCACAATTTTTCAGTGCTTGGGGCGACGCTCCAACCCACTGAGCAACCCGGTCAGGGCCACTTCTTTTTTTTTTTCCTCTTTTTCTTTTTAATCCCCTTCATTTTCTAAAGGCAAACCCTAGTCCTTCTGAATATTTCAACAGCATCACACACAAAAAATTCATATTTAAACTTAAGTTACACATCCAGTTCCTTAAACCTACACAGGGGGGCAGAGTCCTGGCTGTTACTCTACTGTGCGTTCCGGCGTTCGGCATGAATTCCAAATGGCCCAGGGGCTCCTGACACATCCGGCATGAGAACGCGGTTCCCAGGGAAGGGCCGAGCCCCAGTTTGTATGACCCTCTTTTCTCTGGTTACAGAGGTGAATACGCGCTGGCCGAATACACCGAAGTAAAAACCGTCACCATCAAACTGGACCACAAGAACCCCTGAGGAAGTGGCGGGGTCTTTCCTCCGACATCTGACAGCTGAATGTGGCCCATCACCCTGCCGAAGAAAAAGTGCTATTTCCGACCTTCCTGGCCCACTTTCTTCCGGAGACCTTTCCAACTGCATGGGAACGATGTTTTCCTCTGGCACATACCTGTTGAGGGGGGGGGGGGTTGCAGTCCTGCCGTCCTGCCTGGTGGTGGCGCTATTGGGTGTTTCCCTTTTCCCCTTTCAACCCCGTCCCCTGAGACGGTGGCAGGGCTTGGGGCGCTGCCAACAGGAAATGGTATTGGAAGTATCCAGCAGTCCCTTAAAAATGCTTTACTCACTCTTTCAGATAGAATTAAGAGAAACCTCCCTATATGCTCTAAACACAGGGCCCTGTGCCTGTGGGTCCCTCAGGGCTACCTGCCCTCAGCGCAAGCCCCTGCTTCTGTTTAGTTCCGAAAAGGAATAGCACTAAGTTAAAACAAACAAACTCCAGACTTGCAAGGATCCAACGTGGGGCGCTCTGGGGAAGCAAGTACCGAAGAAGGTTACTGAAAGCCTCGGGTGTGAACGGGCGTGGGTGTACCAGGACTACACCTAGGCGTTGACCTTGGGACTCAGCTTAAAACCAATATCGCCTTTGGAATTTGACCGGACCACCCGCCCAAAGAGCTTATCTAAAACGATGTCCAGGTCCGCCTTCACCAAGGCACATTCTTAGGCAGAAAGCACCGCTAGGGTCCCTCACCGTCACTGCTAAACACCCAAGGCTCTGACCCAACAGCAGACCAAATCCGAGGATAATTAAGTCCCGCATATCACAAACCAGAGCTGCAATTTGCTTCCGCAGTTTATGCATTTCTACCACCTGGGTTCATGGATGATAAACCTGGGTCATTCTCCGTTTCTCCAGCAGGGATGCCGATTTCAAATAAGTAAAACATAGAGGTTCCCAAGGCTGCTATTATAATGTAGCCCTGGTTTCTTCAAGTCCTATCTTGATATTAATTCATGATTAATCAGCAGAGAACACCCAGACTCCTTGGGGGAACTCGATTTCCTACTAAAACAGCCTGATTTCTGCCCAAACGGGTTGTGAGTTTCTCATTTCCTCTTTGGGCAATTACAGTTTTAACTTGGAACACGGAAGGGGGTCCCGTGTGGCTTTCAGGAACCAAAACCAGACTTCAACTGGGTCCTCTTAAGAATCAAAAGCAAACTTTTCTGGCTGTTATGAACTAGTGCTTTCCTAATGGTGCTTCTGTTTGAGAACTCAAGTACATTTGAGAATTACATTGAGGGAGGGACAATCATAAAATGAAGGTCTGTGTCCAAACCAGTGTAGGTATAAAGCAAGTCCTATATGAAACGGGGTTATTATTCTTGCCGGAAATAAGCAACACACCCTTCACTGTCCCCTCCGCACCAGTTAGAACTTATCACTTACACTGTCAGTAACTTGTTAAATCAGGATTTGACTCATACACTGAATTTTCAGGATTTTATCTGGAGCAATTATTGACACTAACCTTGATAGTGATACATTAGAGGGTTCTTATTCTTTCATTGTACAATAACGCCTTTAATATGAAATGGTACATTATTTATAATGGGTATAGTTAATGTATCTTTTTATAGATGTAAGTAAACAGAGGTGGTATATTTAACCTTCTATAATATACTGTATTTAGAAATGGAAGTCTATATAGGATTTGATTTCACTTTGAAGGTTTACTCCTGTGGTATGGTTTAAAAATCTATTGGCTTGGGGATTCTGATCCTAACTGCAGATTATGTTAACAATTCAACAACCTTAAAATAAAGCTGGATATTTGAGAAATGTCTTTTTTTTTTCCATTTAAGGACCCGATCTGGTTTCATCCTATGGCTTACCTTTCTCCTTTTTTTAGACCTTCTGTACAAAATGGCTGCTGATAAAGCAGAATCAATAACTTAAGAACAAAATAACACTGGTTCAATTGATTCAAGGTTCATTGGTTCAAGGCTCAGGCCGAGACCTGAGCCAGAGTGTGAAATCCACTTCCGGGTTTTGGGGGTTGACCAGGCAGCGACCTCAGCCTCAGAGACAAAATGTAAGAGTCTCTTTTACCATGAATTGGTAAGCATGTGAGTGTGGACAATGGCGGGGGACATTGCGTGGACATGTGGGGTGTGCACAAGCCTCCATTGTTGTCCCTTTTCTCCACAAGGACGTGGGTATTTGGGTTTAATTTACCTTAAGTTTCTAAGGCCTCAGACAAAGCAGCCTCAGTCACCAGGTGACATGGAGGTCGGACCAAGAACATTCCGTCCTTGGTTCGGTTCCCCCATGACCTGTGCATTTCCTGTCAGAAGTCTAGAATACTTTGGCCATGCAGTGGCAGAATACCACCCTTTAAGAGAAAATTTAAGGGACACTTGGGTCAGACCCCTTGTAATGGATGTGCTTGTGGATGCATTCATGTATTGAGAAACCTCCAATTTCTCAGTCTAAATGGGAACAGGAAATTCTAGGGAAATGACCTCTGCTTCACCAATGTGTGACCCTCTAAAGGGAGCGATTCTAGAGACACAGATCAGCTGCGGTGTGTATGTACGCTCGTGTGTGTGTGTGTGTGTGTGTGTGTGTGCCTGTGAGCACTTGGGTGCCTGTGGGGGTGGGAGCACAGGAGGTGGGCACCCTCTCTGAAAGCCCACACTCTGGAATGTCCAGCTTCTCATGATGCTGGACGAAGCCATTTTCATTAATGTCCTTGCTCCCAGCAGCAAGTGGCTGGCCTGAGTTTGAAAGGGGATGATGAGAGACGTTGAAAACAGTTGTCTAAGAAGGAAAGTCTGAGGAAACTGAGTACCCATCTGAAAAAAAACAAAACAAAGCCAGGACTAGAAGCCAACAAACGGTGCAAGGTAGTCACCGTGCTTTCAGAGGGGCAGAAATGTGGAATCAGGGGTGTGCTGGGGCCGGGTGGGGGGGGGGGGAGTAGCTTCCAGCTGGCCCCACCTTAGGAGGGGTCATTCCAACATGAAATACTGAGGATCAAGGTAGGGTGTGGAGCAAAAGTTAGAAAAACAGGGGTCAGGACAGAGAAACTGACCTGTAGCAACCTCCCTCAGGCAAATCAGTGACTAACTCATCATAACGAATAGAGTTAGGTGCTGCGATAGAACCGACTCAAATCAGGCCACCTGCGTGGCAGGTGTTTCGGCTGTTTTCTGCATTACAAACATTCCTAACCTATTCTCCCAATCTCATTTCAAAGGGAAGTTGAGTTCCTGGAATCCACAGCGTCCACACCTGCTCCGGTCTGCCCGGGCCCTGGGCGTGCGCTTCCTCAATGTGCCGCTAGATGGCGATGCCGCACACCCCGAAGGCGCAGCACAGCGGTGGCGGGGCTCACTCAACGCTGCGGCCACCACGCCCTGCAAATTATTAGGGACTCTTCCACAGCGATCGTACTGCTCCTTCTTTTGTGTGTGTGTGTGTGTGTGAGTGTGTTTTTCCACAATGGAATTAGGATCGCATTGGTGAGGACAAAATTGCAAAACTGCATCCAGTCTCCTGGAAGAGCGCCCCGTGGCAGGAGATTTGCAGGCGGCAGCTTCTTACGGAGCAAAGCGGAGCTGCCCCGCGGCCCCCTAGGCCTCCCGGGGCCCCAGGAGCCGGTCAAAAGTGGGGCTTGTCTGCCACGCCGCGTGGCAGCCCTGCTTTTGTTAAATGCCAGAGAGGGTGGGGACGATTTGTCTCAGTGCCCTAAATCCTAGGAATGTCCCAGGCATAGCATTGCACGCAAGGAGCCTCCGGCACGGTCCAAGCTACTCTTTCTCCCCCGGGCGCCCGGGCCGAGTCTGAGGCCTGTCTGCAGCGTGATCGTGCATCTTTACGCTCTGTCTTTCGGTAATGGCCTCCGCAGTGTGATGAACGTACTTGAATCCGGTTGAAACATAATCGATCGCCAACATCCTCCCATGTTTCACCTGCCCTCCCCGCAAAGAACGCCAGTTTAAAATAATTCACCAGCCAGTAACATCGATATGCACCCATTGCTAAATGAGTAAATTCATGGAACGGGAGGGGCGCAGTTTGCAAACATTACCGCTTCAAAAATACAGATTTCTGTATTGCCCTGTAGAGTTGTGCACAAATGAACGTTCCCTGTTTTTGTTTTGTTTTGTTTTACTATTTACGGCCAGAGCATACGGCGAATATACACAAGTCAGAGGTGAATCCGCGGGTGTGGCTGCGGAGCACAGTGAAAACTGGATCGGGCCAAGAACCGGCCCATCCTGTGGCAGCGCCCGCCCCGCAGGCACCCAGACCTGGAGGGGACGTCGCGCCAGAAGAGCCCGTGGGCTGTATCCTGTCCCGGGCAGGAGCGGAGAATCTGATCACCTCTGGTTACCAGTCAGGGAAACCGAGGCGGGCAAACCCGGGGACGCCTCTTGCGGGTTCCGGGAGAAGCAGCGGCGGCCGATCCTCGCCCTGCGCGCTGTTCGCGCCGCCCGTGCGCCCGCCTCCCGCCCTCCCCGCCCGCGGGCGGCCACAGGATTGAGGAAGTGCGTCTGGGCTCGGCCCGGCCCCGCGCGCGCCCGGAGCGCAGGGGGCGGAGGGCAGTGGCACCGCCAGGCCCCGACAAGCTGATGTTCCCCGCCCGGCGCGCCAAGCCCACTCGCCGTCGCCGCCACCTCAGGTAAGCGCTGTCCCGCCGGTGCCCCGTGCCCCGCGCCCCACCCGGAGTCCTAACTGCCGCCTGCGGCCGGTCCGCGTGGAGCCTTGGGCCCCGCAGCTCAGGCCGGCGCCCTGAGGGGCCGCCGAGGGCGCTGGGCGGCCGGTGCCTCACTGCCCGCTCAGACCCCAGGCAGCCCGTGGGGTGGGACTGTGCGGGGGGGGGGGGGGGCAGATGGGAACCCCGAACCCCCCGCACGGGAAGGTGCCGGGGCAGGGGGAGCAGAGGCAAGAGCCCAAAGTAGGAAAACAACCCGGGTGTCTCAATGGCTTCTCACCCTTTGGGGAAAACCCCTTCCTTCAACTTGGAGCGGGGCCGTGGGAGCGCGCGTGTGCGCGTGTGGGTGCAAGTGCGTGTGAGCCGGGAAGGGGCTGCTAGGAGTCTGTCTCTTCCCCCCAGGGGTAGCCTGGGGATGCGGGAGGCCCGAGAACCGAGTACACCATCACCCC